GCTATAAAAAGACAAATATTTTTGTTTCAAGGAAGATATTTTTTACCTGAAATGCATATCTAATGAAGAATGAATTCATACGGTTTCAAGTTTGTAGACCTTGAGAAAATAGCTTTTAAAAATGTCTAATTTTACGACAGTTTAAAATAAGTTACGTATTGCCCTTTTTTTTTTTTCTCCGAAAGTAATGCAAGCAGCGTTTTCAAAGTTGACACGTTTTAAGAATATAGTGTGTTCATTAGGTACATAAATTATGGCTGCCGTAGGGAAAATGTAAATTTTTATATATTGCCTCAAAGTTCGCATATTGGCAAAAGTGTACTCCACTGAAATTTGAATAATAAAAAAACCCCATCTTCGATTTTTCTTAAAATCTCGTAAATAGACAACCGAAGGTCATCATACAGTAATATAGAAAAACATGTTGCATTATTTTGTTTTTAGCGACAATATTCGGGGTACAAATCGGAGCTTTTCGAGAATGCGCTGATCAGTTGAGAAATCTAGAAATCGGAACGGAAAAGCGGCAATAAGCTTCAAACGCGAGTAAACGTGACCGCATTTGGTGAAGAAAGGCTGTTTTAGCAGATAGAAGTAACTATTTTGAACGCGGTATTCTACAGTGTCTGAATTCACTCTTATACGTAGAGCACTGAGACTTCTTATATGTGGTGCCTCTCTATTACTGACACACAGATGGAGCTGCTGTGACGGCTATGTGTTTGCAACACGTTGGGTAAAAGAATTGAATGTTGAATGAATTCATAAACGATTCATAACAAATTTTTATCATTTGGGGCACGAAGACTGCCACATTAGACTGAAGAACACGCTTTAGGGCAAGTTGTCATACGTAGTCTGCTCTACAGATGAATCGCTGTGCGCCGCATCTCAGAGGCAATGCTTTAGATCATATGGTTCAAAGTAGGGACAAAGATTACGCCTCCCGTAATTTTATCGACAAAAACATTGTGAAATTCATTTTAACGTACTATACTTCAGTTTTGCATTTGCACTGTGGATACTTGTGCGTAAGTATCCACAAAATAATGTAACATGTTTTTCTATATTACTGTATGATGGCCTTCGGTTGTCTATTTACGAGAATTTATGAAAAAAATTGAAGATGGGGTTTTTTTATTATTCAAATGTCAGTGGAGTACACTTTTGCCAATGTGAGAACTTTGAGGCAATATATAAAAATTTACATTTGCCCTATGGCAGCAACAATTTATGTACCTAATGAACACACTATATCCTTGAAACGTGTCAACTTTGAAAACGCTGCTTGCATTACTTTCGGAGAAAAAAAATGGGGAATACGGAACTTATTTTAAACTGTCGCAAAATTAGACATTTTTAAAAGCTATTTTCTTGAGGTCTACAAACTTGAAACCGTATGAATTCATTCTTCATTAGACATGCATTTCAGGTAAAAATTATCTTCCTTGAAACAAAAATATTTGTCTTTTTATAGCATCTGCAATTTTCGAAAATGACAGGTGACGAAATTGGTGCCTCCGTGTTGGTGAAGTTTTATATTTTTTTTCGTAAGTTATGCCGTTAATCATAAAATGATGTTGACTTTCGGGCTACCTGGTGAGAGGTGCACGAAATATAAAATACTCAATAAAATCTAAAATATCAACTTTTGGACCCGTGTCGATCTCTCATGGAATCACCCATGTTCAGTTTTCTGCAGGCACACATTTTGGTTGACCACGAGATCCTTTTCTTCTTCTTTTTTTGTACGAGAAGTAGCGAGACAGGGATGCTTCAGCTACCACTAATTAGTATTACTATGTTGCATTGCCTTGTGGCTATTAAGAGCCGTTGTGTCGACTGATTTGCAGCGAAATCGAGATCTGAAACTGGCACATTGCACCCAAAGTTTTCGAATTAACCGGACTGGTGCTGGCCGCCGCTTCAAATTATTCACTCAAACTTACATTGGAAAGTACGGGACCACGAAAATCCTTTGAGTTAAACAAGATTTCAAAATAACCGAGTTCAAGTTAACGAGGTTTTACTGTATACCATGTTTACTCGTGTAATGAACCCATTTGCACAATGGCCCACCCCCATCTTGATCCCTGGAAAAAAATTAGTTATCATGTATCTGTTTATTTTATTTCAATGAGATAGCCACCAGTGCCGTTGAGGACCTAAACAACATTCAATCGCTCTATTATATCACAAAATAATGATGCTGTAAAAGTCAAAACACAGTTAAACAACCTTGCTAAAACATTTACGAGCACCGTGAGTGCAGACAGCATAGAGTTTCCTAAAATTAACTGGAGGGGACTCTGGCACTGCGATCGTTCAGCGACCATGGGAAATATGGGTAGTACACACATTTGCCTAGTCTTCGTACTTGCGGGCGGCGAATCGTACTTTCGGCTTCGTTTATTACGGTGTTTCGGTTTTGTTTTGAAAGAAAAATTCAACCCTTTGGAACTTCGTGACCGGATTTAGAAAGGTAAGTCTAAAGAAATAAGGTGGGGAAGCGCAACCGCTGAATATTTGCTGATTTTTATTTCGTAAGAAAACAGCTCCAAGCCACACAAACACACACGGAGCCAAAAGCAGGGCAGAAGTACAAAGATTAGACAAATGTGTGTACTACCCATCATTTCCATGCTCGCTGAAGCGCCGTGCGTTGCAGCTCCCATAGAGACTAGCGCCAGAGTTCTCTCTAGTGTATATTAGGAAACTCTATAGCAGACAGTGTCGATCAAAATTTAAAAATTGCACCTTTTGCGGCAGAGTGCCACTTGTATAATGCAGCAGAAACCTCTTTGCTTATAGCACCACGAAAGTATAGCACGCGAAGACAATTAAAAAAAATAAAGTGCAACCACGCCCACTGTACTGATGGCGCGATGTGCACCCGCAATGCATGCGCCACTATCGGACGCTGCATTTTGGTAGTCGGGTTTGTTGCAGTGGACTTCGTTTGACACCTGCTGCGCAGGGGTTGATCGGCCTGTAGGCTAGCTACACAGACAATTTTAAATGGGAACCGAGCAGCTGGATGACACTTTGGCACTGAGTCGTGCACATTCGTTGCTGGAGAAAACAAGAAAAGCTTCAGGCTACAAAAAGCTTCGTCACGGAGGGACAAAACAAGGACACTTTTCTCTTGTAGATAGCCAAGTTCTTGAGTAGAAGCTCTGTAGTCCTCCTAATGAATTGAAGGCCAGCAGCAGTTGGACATCAAGTTTCGGAATACCATCATGCGAAATTTTTTCTGTTATAACTCCTGTGACTATTTCTCTCGTGCGTAATGAAACCTCCCCCCAAATCGACATCAACTTTTCTGAAAAAAAAAAAAATGGTGGGTTCACTACGTGAGTAGTTACGGTATTCATTGTTTGTTATACACAACGTTTTAGTTAAGTACATTTTTATACCCACTTGTCAAAGGCATTTCCTTTAACTTCCATCACCTAATTAGAAACGGATATGCTCTTGCTTCAACAAAATATGCACTTTGGTATGCATAACTATTCACAACTCTAGAAAACACTGCTTTTTCTGTCAGCACTGCTCAAACAAAAAAAAAAGATGGCTACAATGTGTGAAATCATGGCAGTTTTTTTGCTATACTTTGATTTAAAGGGGCCCTGCCACACTTTTTAAGCATGGTCGGAAAGCGCTGTCAATCGGTAGTCAAGGCTCCCAAGAACACGTGAGCAAAACTTTATAACATGGCTCGTGGCCTAGAATTTACAATTAATTCTGGAGGGCAACTAGAAACCACTCCCTCTTCTTTCTGCAAATGGTGCCATATTCCTAAATTTCTGCACCATATACCAGCATCCGCAGCAGTTGTCTGATTTGAGCATTGTAGTTACCATGGCCACTGCAAGATTACACAATGTGATCTCATGCGATCACGTAGAAACTAGGTTGCATGTTCGAAAAGAAAGAAGAAAAGAAAGTTTTCAAGGTCATGACATGCACTGACCAAGGGATGCATCTTCTTGCCCCTTTGTCATCTTTCTCCCTGCAGAGCTTTCGTGGGCTCGCTGATTAGAAAGGAGAGGGAAAGTGCTGGAATTGCGCTCCAATTTCATGCAACCCCCTCATACTTCACGGATTCTAATAACGTTTGCAGCATGTGGTTCGTGAAGTGTGATACACTAATAGTGAGATTATTCCTGTATAACTTGGGAAAGTGTTGCAGGGCTTCTTTAATGCTATGCTGAAGTTCGTGGATTGTGGTGCTGAATCACAGTCAAAGGCTAAAAGGTGCCTGCTGCCAATCACTTTATGCTAATTGGTCACCTTATGCTAAGCAGAAAAATTGTTACACTGTGCACGCAAACCTGTTCAGCAGCTGCATCGTTTCTTGTTTATATATATATATATATATATATATATATATATATATATATATATATATATATATATATATATATATATATATATATATATATATATATATATATAATGGAATGCAAATAAGAAGAAAAAAAGTGGATGAAAAAATAACCAGCCGAGAGCATCGAACGCGTTATTCGAAGGTCGTAGGTTCGTTTCCTGCTGACGGCTGGTTATTTTTTCATCCACTTTTCTTTCTTCTTATTTACATTCCATTGGTTCTAATAACTGCCCCTGTACATTCCTTGGCATTAATGTCTGTTAGATCTCATTATTATTGTGTCAAAACACGGAAAAACGAGACCTTATATATATATATATATATGCTCCATATATATATATATATATATATATCTATATATATATATATATATATATATATGTATATCTATATATATATATATATATGGAGCATTTCTTCAGTCAAAGGCAATCGACTGCCATGCTTCAGTCATTTGGACGTGGTCTCTACTGCCTTCTCAAGTTTTATCTAACTATAATCTAGTGGCACTGGCCAGTATTTCGGTGACAAACTAGTATAACTAAAATAAAGGTTACAAAGTACAGCAGGATCAAAAAAACTGAAAGTTCTTTCTTTCTGTGGTCTGCAGGGCTGGGGCCTCTACAGTGAATACCTTGGTTATGAGCTGGGTGTCTACAGAACTCTCCATGACAAGTGAGTGGAATCCTTAAATGTAACTTTGATACCCCTTCGTTATGCGGTTAACTAACAACCACTGCATTGTTTGTTTGCATCAGGTATGGACATCTGACCCAAGAAATGCTTCGTGCGTGTCGCCTTGTAGTTGATACGGGGATGCATGCACTTGGGTAAGCTCTCCCCACTTGCTTTTCTCCCTCAGCGTTCACGTTTTTAAACAGTGAAAAGCAATGCTGCTTTTCATTTATGAAATCATTGCTACGATTTGCAAATTGATTTTGGTACACTTGTGCATTGTAAAACAAGTTATTACAGAGCCTCAGTGATAACTGCTGGTATATAGTAAGCAAAATGTGGTGATTATTGAGTTGGAAAAAATTATTTTGCCACTTGTTTTTCTCTTGTAAGTAGTAAAATGAAAAAATATCGAAAAAAAAAACATTTTTCATCCTTCAAAACATGCAGTTCTCGTTGTAGGCCCTTTCAGCTGGGCTGCTGCTAAATGGGCATAGTGCAAAATTTTCGAAAATTTTGATTGATACATTGGAATCAATATAGTTTAACTATGAATTGTTGGGCGAGTTGTTAATTCATTATGAAATAATGTGCTAAAAAAACAAAGAACAGCAGAAGGTAACATCGCCAGTGGTCGTATTGTCACCTTCTCCGATTATTACAAATAAAGGTAATAATAGAACAGAATGTCAATAAATAGTATTTTTGAAAAATATGATCAACTTTATAATGTACTTAATTATCAACTAAGCTTACAAACATTTCAATACCTCGTTAATTTCAATAAATTCCAAGCTCCTTCATGCTCATGCATGTTTTTCTTGATTATTTTGTTATTAGTGTTGAAGAGTTGCGTTAAAACAACCAACATTTCATCGCCATCATTTTTCTTGTGGCAGGGTTTACATCTGTCCAGTTACCTGCCTGGATGTTTAAGGCTTGCTATGCAAAATAAATTTTGAACTGTACATTAACTGCACAGCACTGCAGAAACATTCATTCTGCAACATTACACTATTGTGTAGCAGATTGTTCCTGATGAAAAACTTCGTGTAGTACTTTTTATTTTGAATGTTGCAAATTAGTTCTGTGGAATCCTGCAAAGTAGAAAAAGGGTTATGAAAGGGAAAATTTTCAGCCGCCCAGTTCTAGCACGAAGTTACAAGATATACAAGGATTTCTCAAAAATAAAGCTTCTTAGTTGACAAGTGATGCTTTGTGGTCTAGGTATCGAACCTGGAACCAGTGCCAGTACACCAACATTGCACTTTATTTAGTCCACTTTTCATGGCGCAATCATGTTACACTTGAAGAGGTACTGACATGAATATCTTCAGTTGGTTTTTTTTGCATCAAATAAAAGGCCAAGCCCCAAGAGCGTAGAAGATGTACTACTAAGCGTGGGTGCACCCTGAAAAAGTAATTACAGTGTGGTTTTAAGAGCTAGTCTCAGTTCCTACTGTACTCTGCTATCACAGCTCAGTCTGAGCTCCTTGTCAGGTGCTCGCACAAGATGTTGAGATGTTTCCTTGATCGCCCCGCACCATGGCCCTGTAGGTAATGCAAAAGTGACCATTTTAGAAGTTTTGGTACCTGTTGTCATCCCAACAAGCCAGAGTGTTGCATGAAGTCACCAAAACTAGTACTGTCGCCTGACTTCAAGCTATATGCTGTCAATGTTGGTAGGTGCATCATGAGAAAATTGACTAAAATCGAAATAAAATATCTTATTAGCATTTACTGAGCTTCAGAATCACTCAGAGCTATCTCTGTATACAGGAAATTTATTTGGTGCAGTAAACTCACCTTTGAAATATGGTTCTATTTACCTCTTCAATTTTTCGCTCAGAAAAGCCTCAAGACCAGTGTGATCTCACAAACAAGAAAAGTCATGGGGAACTTGTCATTGAGTGATCATTCATCCTTTCTATACTGAAGAGCGTCTACATGCTTCATTTTAATATATTTATTCACAATTCCTTACAAGTCCATTGAAGTGCATTGAGTAAGGGGAATAGTAGGAAAAATTCTGTCATATCCACGAAGTGAATGATGAGCAGGCAAAGCTCCGGAGGTAAATCTGGTAAACTGTGAATTTTCGTACATTTTGCCCACTCGATCGTAGAAAGATATTCATAGAAAGATTCACGCTTGTCACGGGGACTTTACCAGCCACCAAAGAGTCTTTGCAAGTAGAGCAAGCACACTCTGTACTCACTGTAATCTACTTCACGGGAAGCAGTGGCGGCAAACTCTCACGGTAGCACAGCCATAGCCTTGGTGTGGTATTGCTCGTTTTTGATCGTGAAGATTGTGGTCAAGCTGTTGTCGAACCAAAAGCAGTCGTACCTTGCAGCTGTGGCCAAAACTGGGATCTAGTAAATCACGCTTAAATTGCACATCAGCGGTAGCAACCTCAGGTAGCGACTGCTTTAGGCGCTTGTTTGCAGGTTTCCGTGCCCGCATAGCCTCAGGATCCGCTTGTCTCCACTTTCATGCCGCCACCACTTCACGGGCTCAGCTCAGGATCTGCTTCTCTTTGTGCCCGTTTCTTTTTAGCTTGGTGGGCCCTCGTCTCCAGGTCCGCTTGTCCACGAGCTCATGCTGATTCAACTTCACGGGCCCTCATCGCCTCTGAATCAATGGCTTGTGCTTGCTGCCGGCACTGGCGTCCAATTTTCGGCTTCATGAACTCTCAGCTCCGGGTCCTGATAGCGAGCCCGCGCTGGAGCCACTTTGCAAGCCCTCTGTTCCGCCTCCGCCTTGTGTTCTTCATTTTTAATAGTAGTGGAAGTAGTAGTAGTAATAGTAGTATCGCAATGCACTTAGTGGCAGCCATCGAAACACGGCATATTCACGAAGGGATCGATGATGAATGGGTGAAGCAGTGGGGTCTTTGTAATCAGTGCCATCATTATCATCATGGCGTATCGTGGGTACCTTGCATGTGCTTGGCTGCGGCGAACACCAACACTTCCAACGGACAAGCCCCTACCTTCAGAAGCTTCACTCCTATATAAGTCAGCATTCAATTGAACAATAACAGAAGAACGGTTACAATAATTAGTGTAGTGAGACATCATTATACAACATTACCAAGAAACATAACCGTGTTGTGAAAAGTTTTGCAGTTGGCCTTAGGATGCTGTGTGGTTCAGAAGATTGTTCCAATTTGCACTATCTCAAGACAGTGATGACGAGTTAAAGGCCTGAATTTGACCATATATGCACATGAAGCTGTGTGAATTCTGCATGCATTAGGATGTGTGCACAGGATCGTGAATCAGCAGGCAATTAGGTTTTCTTGACATATGCGCACATATTGTCGCGAGAGGAAACGATAGACAGGGACTCGAAGTGGACGACTGTTTACTAAGCCACTGCAGCCATTCACTTCTTCGCTCTCCTCTTCTACCACTAACGCAGCGTGGCATTACCCTCTCCCCAAAGAAAAAAAAAAGAGGAAGCATCACATGAATGCTGTGGCTCCGAAAAACAACGAGAGGTAGTAAAAAAATGTCTGTGTCCATTGAGAAGAAAAAAAGAAATGGGAAAAAAGAAGCGAGAAAGAAATGTACAATTGTCTTGAAGGCAAGTGCCACATTACAAAGTTCTTGACTTGCAGTCAATGCGAATAGTAATGCTTCATCCTAGAGACGTGAACCACATCCGAGGAACGTGGTCTACGAGAATGGTGCGATGTGTCTGCTGGGACAACTTCGTAGTTAGCTTCCCCAATGCGATGAAGAACTCGGTAGGATCCGAAGTACCGACATAACAATTTTTTCGAGCGTCCACATTGACGTATAGGAGTCCAAACTCAGACTAGGTCACCGGGTTCGTATATTACTGCACTGTGGTGGATGTTGTACCCTCGAGCATCTTGATTTTGCCGCGACAAAATGTGAAAGCGTGCTAGCTGCCGGGCATCTTCGGCACGCTGAACGAATACATCTGCGTCCGGGGTAATCATGTCCGGCAGAGTTGGTTGCAGCATTGTGGTGACGTCGCAGTCGTAAATCAGACGAAAAGGAGCAAAGCCGGTGGTTTCCTGTAGAGCCGTATTGTAGGCAAATGTTATATACGGAAGGATTTCGTCCCAATTCTTCTGATCCTTGGCGACATACATCGAAAGCATATCTGCAATTGTTTTGTTATGGCATTCGGTTAACCCGTTAGTCTGCGGGTTGTACGCAGTTGCTGTTTGGTGGGTCGTGCCGCTCAGCAACAGAATCTCTCGAAGCAACTGTGCCGTAAAGGCAGTACCACGATCTGTGGTGACGACAGCGGGAGCACCGTGGCGAAGAACGATATTCTTGATAAAAAAGTCAGCCACATCAGAAGCATTTGCTCGCTGGCGGCTTGTGTTTCGCATTATCTGGTTAAGTAGTCTGTTGCAACCACAATCTAGCGGTTACCAGCTGTAGACTTCGGAAATGGGCCGAGTAAATCCATCCCGACCTTTTCAAAAGGTGCGTGAGGGGGCCGCAAAGGCTGAAGCAGACCGGCTGGTTTCGTCATTGGATTTTTGCGGCGCTGGCAGGCTGTGCATGTCTTGACGTACTGCCGGACGGTTTTCGTAAGTTTCTGCCAGTAGTATTTGTCCTTGATCCGCGCCAGAGTACGGGCGAAGCCAAGATGCCCTGACGATGGCTTGTCGTGACAAGCACGCAAAATATCATCGCGGAGAGCAGCAGGAACGACGAGCAGGTAAACAGTTTTCGTTGGATGAAAGTTGCGCTTGTAGAGAATGTTTTGACGTAGACAGAAAGATGACAAATCACGTGCAAACTGACGTGTTGGTTGTGGGCGACGTCCCTCAAGGTATTCGATCAGTGGTTGCAGTTCTGAGTCTTCGCGTTGCTGCTCAACCACGTTTAATGATGCGAGAAAAGCAAGACAGCTGAAGTCTTCATCCTTGTCTTCTGCAGCGATCTCGACGGGTGCGCGAGAAAGATGGTGAGCGTCGCTGTGTTTTTGGCCAGACTTGTGAACCATCGGTATATAGAATTCCTGTAACCGAAGGCTCCATCTTGCGAGACGGCCCGCAGGATCTTTCAGATTCCCTAGCCAGCAGAGAGAGTCGTGGTCACTGACGGTTCGGAAGGGGCGTCCGTACAAGTAGGGCCTGAATTTCGTAATGGCCCATACAAGCACTAGACATTCTTTTTCAGTCGTCGAGTAGTTCTTCTCCGCAGATGGCAACGTGCGGCCAGCGCAGGCGATGACGCGTTCCACGCCATCTTGATATTGCACGAGAATAGCTCCGAGGCCAAGGTTACTCGCGTGAGTGCGGACCTCTGTGTCTGCTTCGGTGTCGAAGTGACCAAGGATCGGCGGCGTTTGTAGGCGTTGTCGAAGATCGCGGAAAGCGTCGGATTGTTTGGAACCCCAGACGAAGGCGACGTCGTCTTTGACGAGTTGTTGTAGAGGTTCGGCGATTTTCGAGAAATTCGGTACGAAGTGGCGGTAATAAGCACAAAGGCCCAGAAAGCTGCATACATTATGCTTTGTTCTCGGTGTCGGGAACAAAGCAACTGCCATAGCCTTCTCAGGGTTGGGGCGAACACCACTGCTGCTGACAATGTGGCCAAGAAATTTGAGTTGATCGTATCCAAAATAACACTTTTCCGGTTTCAGAGAGAGGCCGGCAGTGCGAATACCCAGAAGAACCACCTCAAGCCGCTCAATGTGCTGTTCAAAAGTCGTAGACTATGTCGTCTAAATACACTAAACAAGAGTGCCACTTCAGGTCACATAAAACTGTGTCCATCATTCATTGGAATGTGGCTGGAGCGGAGCTCAGGCCAAAAGGGAGAACTTTAAATCCAAGTAAGCTATGATTGTGGGTTTCGCAAAATGCCTGTATTCGCCACACAAGTTCGTAACGAAAAGCGTAGTCTGGCCATTTCGGAATTGAACGAGACTTCGAGCAATGGCGACTTCTCGATCAAGCAATAACGTCAGGTTACTTTCCGCGATGCCCGTAATTGAATGCTCTCGTGGACACTCAAAAAGCACGAAGATACTACTGCGAGGTGGCAACGTGACGCAATCATCAACTACGCATAAGGCGACGCCACAATGTTTGTTCTCGATGTCGGAATCTGGAGAAACACAGTTAGCAAAACTGATGAACAAATCATGCAGATTAATTATCGCTCCATACTCTTGTGGAAAATCCATGCCCAAAACGTCCGGCCGAGAACAATTGGGCAGTACAAGGAATGACGCTACAAAAGCCGACGCACAAATTTCAAACCTGGCGGTGCACCTTCCTATAGGGGACACGAGGTGTTCACCAGCAGTGATTAGTTGAGGGTCATCCCACATGGTCAGCACCTTGTGTAGACGGGTGGCCAATGAAGCACTAATCACCGAGTAATCGGCTCTTGTGTCGACAAGCGCAGTCACCGGATAACAGCCGACGGAAACGGTAATGGCAGCGGACGTTCTATTGGCGGTTTCCGACAAAGGCTTTAACGGTACGTTGTAAGGCAGCGGCAAAGGGTATTTGTCGGTTCGCGTGACAGTGGCCTCACCTCCGGAGGTCGCCGTTTTCAGTTTCCCCGGCGTGGGCTTGCGCCACTGACATCAGCGGACCCAAAGGCGGGTCGGGCGGGGTGCGTTGATGCGGACGGATGGGGTGATGGTGACCGTGACTGTCGTCGCGGCGGGACAGGAGCGCGATGGCTACTTTCCAAGTAGTCTGCAATTTCTTGCGGGCGCTCATCATAGCGTGGACAACGGGCATCTGGGTGGAATCTGCGTAGGCCTATTCGTCGGTAGTAAGAGTCGCGGTACATGTGTCCAACTTCGTCACAATGGTAGTAGCACAAGGGACAATTATCGGGTGCACGCCAGACGGTGGACTTTCGCGGGCCAGGACGAAAATCGGCCTGAGAAGGTGGGCGATAGGCTGGACTTGGAAAGCGCCTGGTGGTTCCAGCACGTGGATGAGCGAAATGTGCCATCGACGGCATAGAAACGCATAGGGCATCTGCGTAAGAAAGCGTGGGAGGTTCGACTTGCGATGGTGGTGAGGAATGAACGAACTGCCTTATTTCGTTACGAACGACGTTCGTAAGGGAAGCGCTACTGGGAGGAGATGTTGCATGAGATTTCCGAAGTTCTTTGCGTACGACCTGCCGTATGAGTTCGGTGAGGACCTCCCTGTTACCACCTCCTGGTACAAGCGAGCACGCAGCGTACATAGCCGTCCGACGCTCATACTGCGACGATCGCTGCTAAAGCATGCGCTCCATAATTGTGGCCTCACGTATGAACTCCGACACAGTCGTAGGAGGGTTGCGCACAAGGCCCGCGAAAAGTTGCTCTTTTACACCTCGCATTAGCAGGTGCACCTTCTTGTCTTCTGGCATGTGGGGGTCAGCACGTCGAAACAATCGCGACATCTCTTCGACAAACATGGCGACACTCTCATTCGGCATTTGAAAGCGCGAAGAAAGTGCCTGCTCCACTTTTTCTTTTCGTTCGGGGTTACTGAACGCCTCGCGAAGTTGCCGATGGAATTCCTGCTAACTTGTGAATGAAGTTTTGTGGTTCTCGTACCACACTTTTGCTGCGTCTAAGAGGGAGATGTACACGTTCTTCAACTTACGGCAATTGTCCCAGTCATTGATGGCAGCGACCTGGTCAAAATGGTCAAGCCAGTCTTCGACATCCTCACCTGCATCGCCGTAGAATAGGTTGGGTGTGCGAGGCGTGTTGATGACACAGGGCACGCTAGCGAATGGGTCATGCTCAGTTTGGGTTGGACGTGGCAAGCATTGTCCTCCCAGAACTTGCCAAGGGGCTGTACTGTGGTGGTAGTCCTTGAAGGCGGCGGCTGCTACGGTGGATATCAACAGACCCTGGTGCACTGGCGGTGGTTGCTTCTGGTTCAGGACCAGCAGGCATAAGACATTGCAGTACAGTACCGAGCACCTCCACCAGTCTGTCGCGAGAGGAAACGATAGACAGGGACTCGAAGTGGACGACTGTTTACTAAGCCACAGCAGCCATTCACTTCTGCGCTCTCCTCTTCTATCATTGACACAGCGTGGCAATATGAAAAAAAGACGTGGAAGAAAATTTATGGTTACATTTTTTAATGGCTGAAGGGAAAGATCGTGTTCTACTCAAGTAATGCTTATGGTCGTAGTTATGGATGCATGGATGCTAAATTTAATTTAAAATTTTGACGTGCACAACTTGGCATTCAGTGGGCTACTCCCGCATTGTCAAGCCAAGCCTGACCAACGAATCGTGGGCCCTCTGGACAGACCATAGGGGAGCCCCGGCATCAGAGCTCTTGATATCAGATGGCCGCTTTTCCTAGTTTATTTGGTCGTAGTTATTCGAGATAAATCGGGGTGTTCTATTCTGACCAGCTTCCTACATACAGAAAAGGTAGTCTTGATATGGTGACTAAGTGAGAGAAGCAAATTCTGTTTGTGGATGAACATAGATTAAGAGAGCCAATTTCCACAAATTAGAAGGTGTGCTACTCAAGTTTCTATGAAGATATCCAAGAGACATTGAAGCTTTGGAAAAGAAAGCTTTTACCTGACAAGGAACACTCGCAGATTTGGGTCTCAATCATTTTCTTTGCGATTTCCAGTTGGTCCCGGGAGAAAGCAGTGCAGTATTTGCTGGAGCATACTTCGTCTAGCCAAGCTGAAGTGGAAAGTGAGATTGACCGCTACATCACTTGGCCTGGACAGGCAAGTATCAAGAATCACTAAGAGCTGCTTACACTTCTTCAGTGCAGCTTTTTCTCTCATTGAGCCCCATTCATCATACGTGAATAAAACTGACATTTAAAAAAAACCACAATTGCAGCTTTATGGGCCATAATAAATTCTGTACAGCGTGATGCGGCTAATTTATAGCAGTGCCAGTAATATGAAAGAACTGCATTGTACCAGTTTAAGTATAACAAACAACCCAGCTAATCTTAAACACTTGTCATTTTTCTTAGAAAACCTCGATAGCAAAAGTTTTGTTTGAGGTTTTTTTACAGTAATTTGTGGCCTTGCATCTGGTATTTCGGAAATTGAAGCTTAAATGCGTCAACGCATTATATGACTAATGCTAGCATCATTAATTTAGAATGATTTTGCGTCAGTTTAAAACACCTGCCTAAATACCATAAGAAACTAGCGCCCCTCAGCGGGGAAGCGCCTGAGACTACACGTGCTCAAGCTACAGCGATGCTGAACGTGCAGTTTTCAAATCTGATGACCCGCAATTGATGAAGAATGAAACGATGTGGCTGCTTTGAGCATGTCTCCTCAGGAAAGAAAAAATCATTCCTGGTACAAGCAGCCAAAACCACCTTGAGAGCAGCCCGACAACAGAGTGAGAGGGGTGAACAATAGTCCTCATTGGGTGCCAGTCAGAGTATTGTGTGCGCTTCATGAATGTACTCTGACGTCGACAATACTTGCCTTACTCGTGGAATGTCACGTGGGGCCTCTGTCTACGTCAAGCCAGGGAAGACGTCGTTTGGTGCTGATAGCTCGAATGAGCATTCACCCTTGCTTTAAAATCGTATTAAAACACCTTATAGTCAAAGCTCATCACTAATAATCAGTCAGAAGTGACCTCGCTTGTAGGACTCTCAAACGACACAAGCATCTGGAGTTTCCAAATTTGGTGTCAGAGGTCCTTTAACTGCATTTTTTAACTCACTCAATGATCAAAATTTTGTTAGTCTAGACACTATGTGTCATTACTGTAAGGCCAACAATATATTGTGCCAAACCAAATTAGGCTGTCTTGTGTAACATTTTTGCATACTACTACTTTCCTTGCTAGTATCACTGGTGCAAACAACTGAATGAGCTGCATTTTTCGTGAAATGGTAATTTTTTATAATTTTTGTGTACAACATGGCTAGCTGGTGTTCCAGCAGACCAGTATGACATACATAGGTCTTAATTCATTCTTTACTCGGCAGGCCTCAAGAATTGACACACCATCTGCAGTTACAAGATGTCTGAAAAATTTTCCGTAACACTCGTTTAAGCGCTGCTAAACATAATTTTTACAACAGTGAGCATGTGAGCTGTCAGAATATTGAATTGTCAGTAGCATGACGTAGTGTTCAGACATGTCACGTGTGCATGATCAACTATAGTAGCACTAATAAAAATAGTATTAGTATGCCATTGTGTAAGTGAAAGTGTTTGGACGGTGCAACATAGAGACCATAAATCTTAAAAACTCTCACTGTCCAAAGTAATCCTCACTTCTCCACTACAATTTGCCTCATCATGAAATCGTGGTTTTGGTGCTTTCTTTTTTTTTTTTTTTTTTGCTAATCTGCAGTACTGCACGAGTTGAAACCATTGTCAAACCTTTGCAGTAGTTGGTAAAGCAAGAAATGAAATGTACTATCCTACTTTCTTTATCTAGGAGTTTGCTTTTGCAAGCTCATGCTTGTGGGATATATGTGCAGCTTTCGTCAGGTACAAAAAACCTATCACTGACTCTTGTCTACATTTCTTGCATCAAGTGTCAAATTAAGCTTGTTTTTTTTTATTCTGAAGCGATTGTGTTTAATAATATTCATCAATAAATATAATGCTCAGTGCACTAAGAACATGTGGCATTGGATTAGTGGCTAGTACTATAGCTTATCACTGCTGATTTTAAGTCCATTTTAAATGTATATTGATTGGGGGAGGGGGGAAAGTGCTGATTTGTCTGTGACAGGTGTCACTAATTTTCTACATTTATTCTTGTCATCTATAGCACTTGATTCTAGTGGCAGTTTTTTTTTTAAGCACTGTGAGATAAAATTTGCATCTATTCAATATTCTTCAAAATAAACTTCATATGAAAGCTAGCTATATATTCTGTATTTTTGCTTCCTGTCATCTTTATATTTTGTACAGTTTTAATGATCTTTTCCCAGGCATGTGCTTACAAAGTTGGTGAACTCAAGATCAAACAGTTGCGCCAAAAAGCACAGGATGCCCTGGGTGAGCTTTACATGATCATTATTTTTTTAGCACCAGTTTCAACATGACATTCCTATACAAGACATCTTTTTTAAAGAGGGCCCGAAACACATTCCCAATCTCTGTAGACATTGCTGGCATGATCATGTGAACCAGTTATTGTTCTACTGCAGAGAGCCTTCAATCTCGAATTACAGATTGGTTGCCCTCTTTTGTAGCCTTTCGAGCCCCCACTTTTATCCACGGCAATGACACTCCATAAACTGTAAAGGTCTGTAGGTTCCAGCCATGTGGCACATGCCATATGTGCACGTCCGTTTTTTTTATATATATGGGCAAGTGGCAGTCGGTAATGTTTTTACTTGCCTTATCACTGCTTTGGTTACCCTAGAACACCTTTTTGTCAAATGCCAGCCTTGATGTGTTGCCTTGAGAAAGAAGAAAGAAGAGAACAAAAAGCGGAGCCATGCTATTGATGATGATAGCTTAGAGGAAGAGCCAATTATGTGAATGATAAACTTTGCTTTCATTGTGCCCATGTTAATTTTGTTTATGGGCTGGAAGTTGCAAGACATCATTTAGGTAGCTTTTTATCAAAATAATTCTTCAAACCAGTTCACTTGAACTGACGTTTTGGCAGAGAAGCTGCTCACTGCCAACATAAAGACACTATCGCTGTTTCTCTTGAATATGGTCTGCAAGCTTGCTTTTCTGCCTTCTACCATGTAGCATAGTGGAGGGCATGAAGCGGGGTTGCCTAAGGGACTGCACACTGTTCACCTGACAAGCCCCGCTTTTTTTTTCCCATTTTACATTGAAAATGCCTCTCCAGTGTCAGCATTGTGTGTTTTGCCCTAGGCAACCAATAACATGCCAAGCTTGGTAATGTTTCGTCAGGCAGGAGGTTACACAGTGCATCCGTGCACAGTGGCATACCAACTATTTTGCGAGTTGGGGGGCAAACCTACCTTATTGGTCGCCCAGGATATATATATACAGTGGACTCCTCTTAAACGGAACTTGAAGAGGCAAGAGAATTTGTTTCATTTATAAGAAGTTTCATTTAAGCAAAGCCCACAATATGAATGAAATATGGCTTTATTTCAAAAGCACCAACTGTGGCTGATTGAACAGAAACATTTTGAAGTATGCAGTACAGTCGAATCTCATTAATTTGAACATGTTTAATTCGAACTTCCGGTTAATTCGAACTCACGATAGGTCTCGTCAAAGCTATGTGTATTCCTATGGGCGAAAACGCCCGGTAATTCGAACGCGCAAGCACTTGCGACGGTTAATTCGAATATACCGCGCTCCGAAAATGCTCTCAGCACCCTACTCAATCCCGCGGCGGCACCTCCGGCACCTCAACGCTGCGCGCGAAGGAAAAGGAAAGAAAAGGCTGCGGTGAAATGTTTGCTGTCTCTAAAATGCCGATCTGCGACGCGCCTGTGCCACACTTCTCCCTTTTCCACTCCTGCCACGTAAAGACCCTTCTACTTGCAATGCTGCACGCAGAGAGAGAGAGGGGAAAAAGAAAGCTATTGCGGAGAGTGGCTCTCTCTCACACGCCGGTGCCATGCTTCCCCTTTCCCGTCCCTACCATGTAACCCTTCTTCTTTCAACAACACGCGCAAACGCGAAGAGAGCAAAAAAAAAAAGCTGCCGTGGAATGTTAGTTCTCTCTCAAATGCCTTTCTGCTTCTCTCCACGTGGAGATGCTCCTCCTTTCTTGTCACGTGCTGGCAACGCTGCGGCTTTGGCACAGAGGGTAGTAGCAGAGATGCAGTGGTTGTTGTCGCCATTAGAGAGTGTTGGCACTGGACATTGCCACGCGCAACTTGTCTTGCCAGGAGAATTCTGAAGCCGAAGTAGGCATGCTTTGCAAGCTGCTTGCGAAATTGACTCGCTGCTAGGCAAACGTGTGCAGACGTGCATCACTGATTACTTCAATTAATTACAGATGTCCTGCATTTTGTCATTAAATGCAAGTCTTCTGAAACTTCCCCCTCATGTGTTAGCTCAATGCACATGCACCACTGCATGGGGAGCCCTCCATTTACTTAGCTTTCATTGTTTTGAACTTCTTTTAATTTGAACAAATTTTTGGGCCCCTTCGAGTTCGAATTATCGAGATTTGATTGTACTGCTATAGTTGATTAGAAAGAAAATTATGCTAATATTGCTGACTCGAAAAAAAGAAGGTGATAGTAATTTGCTCGGCCTTGTTCAAGCACTTTCTATCACAGTAGGAGGGCATTCCTGAAAGGCTGGGCAGGAACTGTGCTACTATCGTGTTCAAAGTAGCGCTTAAACAGGATGACAGCATTTCTTGCTGTACTGTCAGCCTCTGAAAGGGGCTTGGATCACACACCATCTTATTACCACTTGAGCACAAGTCTTCATCTTAAACTTGAGCTATAGGTTTCTCAAGGCTCTTTCCTCGAGTTCACGACGAGACGTCGATTGCTTCTCAGCGTGCGCGGACATGTGCAATCGCTGCATTGGCTTGGCTAGGCTAGCTTTGACATTGGTTTCATGGTTGCTAGACTGTCATGGCCGCTTCCGTTGTTCATGGCTTTTGGCCATTTTAGTTTCATTTAACACCCATGAAAGCTATGAAAAATGTTTCGATTACCCAAAACTTTTTATTATTAAATATATAAGAGACCAACCAATTATGCCTAGATAGTTTCGTTTATGCGGCTTTTTCATTTAACCGAGTTTCGTTTAAATAAGGTCCACTGTATATATATATATATATATATATATATATATATATATATTATGATTACTTGGTTGCAGCAGCGTTTATTCGAGGGAAGACCTCGCAAAACAAACGGGCAGAGCCTGCACACAGACGATGACGATGATGATGACCCACAGTGGCGATGAGGACTAAGAGACAAGCGGATGATGGTGATTATAATCAAGCAGGGATGATGACGATGTAAATAACAAACACTCAAACTTATTTCCCCCATTTGGAAACGGACATCCTGGCCGCCGTACGTCTAAGTGACGAGGAACGTCGCGTCAAAAGTTTCATGCGAGAAGCGTGTACAATCTCGGTGCTGTGGTAATGGTGGTCTATTGGGGTGACAAGTGGTGTCACACGATAATTGACCGGTGAAGTCTGCTCCAAATTTATGTATGGCCCAATGAAGCACAGTTGGAATTTGTCAGAGACCAGGAGTGCGTATAAGTGAGTAGCCAGTTGTTCTCTGAACGGTGGTGTTGTAGGCAAAGGTCATGAATGGTAGAATAGTATCCCAGTTTAAATCTTGTGGTCGGGTTGGACGTAAATGGCAATAATGTCTGCAAGGATTCGATGAACTCTTTCGGTGAGACCATTAGTCTGAGGGTGGTTGCTTGAAGCTGTCTTGTGAGTAGTTCCAGAAGCGCGCAGTACTTCATGTACCATTTGTGACCGGAACCTTTTGCCATGGTCACTAAGCAGAACACGAGGAGCCCCATGGCGCAGGATTGTGGTGTGAAGAATAAAGTCAGCAACTTTCACAGCTGAGCCTGTAATGACAGAGGACGTCTCAGCGTAGCGTGTCAGGTGGTCCATGGCGGTCACTTTCCATCATTTGCCAGTAGATGTAACGGGGAGAGGCCCGTGATGGTCGACACCTACAACTTCGAATGTCGTTGAGGGCACGGAATGGGCTCCAGAGGTCCAGCAGGTGCAGATGTCGGTAGTTTATGACGCTGGCATTGGGAGCAGGAACCGACATAGCATGCTACACTTGAAGAAAGGCCAAGGGAACTGCGCAGCTCCTTCGATCATTCGGGATGCGGAAAGTGAAGGACCACAGCAATCTTGTCTAGGTCGGGCCAAATTTCATCTTTGCTAACGATGTGTCCTAAGACCTTGAGAGATTTGTTAGCGGCGCCGGCAAGGCATGTCAGAACTTGATCCAATCATTCTAGGTGCTCAGGAAGCGTTGACGAAAAAATACAATGTCGTTCAGGAAGCAAAGGCAAGTTTTTTATTTCATGCCATGCAGCATGGTGTCTATCATGCACTCAAAAGTCGCGGGCACGTTCCAGAGCTCAAAAAGCATCACGTTGTATTCATATAGCCCATCAGGGGTTGCGAAAGCTATTTTCTCCTTATCGTCTTCATGCATGAGAATCTTCCAGTACCCAGAACGCAAGTCGAGGCTTAAAAAGAATGCCGCGCCTTGTAGGGAATCAAGGGCATCGTCAATGCGTGGCATGGGGTACAGGTCTTTGCATGTGATCTTATTGAGCGCCGGTAGCCCACGCAAAAACGCACAGAGCCATCCTTTTTACGGACCAGAATAGGAGACGACCAAGGGCTAGATGACGGATGGATGACTTCCCGTTTAAGCATGTTGGCAACATTTTCTTCTATAATTTTCTTTCAGCGTGAGACACGCGGTAGTGTCGCTGGTGTACGATAGATGTCCCTACTGTTTGAATTTAGATGTGCTGTAGTAGTAGTGCGGCCCAGTGTAGACTAGCAAATATCAAAAGAACTTGCGTGCTTCTGTAACATTGCAGCAGCAGCTGCGTCTGTGAAGTTGTCAAGTCACTGCTGATGGCGGTGGTAAAGGCGGAGAAAGAAGCATGTTCATTGAGGGAAGGGTCTTGTGATGCGATGGCCTGAAGTGGCATGACAAATACTGGATTGTAGTCGCCAAACCCGGGCCATACAGACACACACACACACATATATATATATATATATATATATATATATATATATATATATATATATATATATATATATATATATATATATATATATATATATATATATATATATATATATACAGTATTTACTCGATTCTACCGCGCCTTCGATTGTAACGTGCACCCGATTTCCACGACGAAAAAAAAAAAAAAAGTAAGACATCAATTGCAACGCGCACCCATTTTTCTCGCTGGCCCGCACGATCGCACCACTCAAAAAAAGGACTCTTTCGGGAGCGTCTTCCATTTAAATATGAGGTACTGGGGAAGCTTGTGCCCACATTGACGTGTAACAG